ATTCCCTATGAAGATTCTTCATTATGTTTGGAAGTTCAAACTCACTCCTCACCTTCATTCTTCTCTGGTTGAGTACACGACTATGCACACCACCACCAAGCTGTTTGGAACTCTCTCTTCCTATGTTTTCAGTCTTATTACCAGAAATCTACTACATTTTCTGTCCAGCAGAGTATATCTTGTTCTAATAAACTAGTCTCCTATATTTGAGTGACCAAAGAGCTAAGAATTTAGGGTACATAAAATACCAACTGCTGATGACCTATGCACTTATTTTTCTCCCTTCATGTCAAAATAAACTCAGAGTATAGTTGGAAACGGGGTGGGAACCAGGATCATGTGAACTTTTAATGGAAAAAGAGTAGAAAAGAAATTTTGGTCATTTTCATATATGATCTAATGTGTTGGTGATATGGACTTGTCATCAAGTGTCCCTTATTTAAAAAACAAGGAATATTAAGGAAGATTATTCCATATAGAGGCCAAAGTGAATCATATGTAATATCTACACGTAAAACTCAAGCTGAGAAACACTAAAGGCATATCTGAGATTAGGGGGTATAACTGAGTAGTTTTGCTAGGGTTATTCATTAATGCCTAGCAAAGGAGAAGCAAGGATATTCACAGATGCTGGACAAAGGATAAAAACAATAAGCTTCTACCTCATGCACACATTTGAAGTCCTGCTTTCATTATAACATTTATGCAAAAAAAGTAAAATAAGACTGCTAAAGAATTGTTGCACTTGAGCATTGACATTAAATATGGTCGTCAGTGACTATTAGTATTATGTCTAAATTGGGGCTTAGTAGATTACTTTAACCACTATGTATTCAGTATACCAGGGGGCCTTAATGAGTTTTAAAGAACAAAAGTGATGTAATGATCAACTCTTAGACTCATGACTTGGTGGTTTCATTTGGAGATTCTATTATGCAGGTTTGATAAGAACATAAGTGATAATGAATTGTGACAAAATTATTAAAGCAATATTGATGGCTTTGTTTAATTATTTTAAAATCTTCAAAACTGTAATATTCATGCCTCATGTCAATAAGATATATTTACTATTATATATATAACATTAATTTGCATTATATATGCAAAGTAGTAAAATATTAAACCCAATGTATGGTTTTTCTAGTTTATGGCTGTTCAATGAGTGTGGCATAATTTACTACTTTTGTTTTGCTTTGGGGTCACATCTGGTAGTGCTCAATGAGCTTACTCCTGGCCCTTTTCTTAGGCTCTTGCTCCTGAGTGGGCTCAGGGGACCATTTGTGGTTTTAGGAATTAAAACTCTGTGTAAGGTGAAGAGGCCTTATTGCTGAATTATTTCTCCATCCCCCTAATTAATTCTTTCTTTCCTTCAAAATAAACTAAGCTTTACCATGGAGTCTAATAAAACAATCTCAATAAAAGTGCCATATATTCTCATTTTGTGAGACATTCCACTGCTACAAAACTTAGGTGGTTAGAAGCTGACCAAATAGTCTAGATTTTTTGGAATCTTTACTACTTAGGTCTTACTTGCTCAGGCTTAACTGGCCTTCTTCAACAGCTGGCCTTGAACCATTTAAAAAGAATAACTGAAGAAACTTAATATTGGTTACTGATAACATCTTCCTCTAATTTTGTTTTAATATTCATTTTTCCATTGGATATATAAGAACAGCTTCATTTATATTGAAGAATATAAATGAAACAGTAAAGTAACTGAGGTTTGATGAAGGTCTCAGATGATTTTTTAGATATAAATACAGGAATTTTCCTAAGTAATTAAATCCTAATAGTGATAATACTATTAATCAAACATGGCTATTGAATTTATTTTCCAGGGAAGCGGTATATCTATAAACTATTTATGCTACCTTCCCACATTTCTTAAACAATAAATGAATTAGCAGAATCAGATATCTTAGGCTTTTATTTTTTTTTCTCTATCAAATGTGGTTTTTATTCAACTGACAAACACTTTTTCTACATCTTAGGCTTTTTTTATTTAACTTTTATAACTCTTGCCAAGTAGATTTGAAAGAAAAGAAATATTTCTTATCTCATGGCCTTAATATAGTCTACAAGAATACATTGAGGGCTGGAGTGACAGCATGCATGCAGCTGACCTGGGTTCGATTCCCAGCATCCCGTGTGATCCCATATCCCAGAGCACCACCAGGGATAATTCCTGAGTGCAAAACCAGGCGTGACCCCTGTGCATTGCCGGGTGTGACACAAAAAGCAAAAAAAAAAAAATACATTGAGAAATTAAACAAATCTAACAGTACTAGTAGCACTGTAGCACTGTCCTCCTGTTGTTCATCGATTTGCTCGAGCAGGCCCAGTAACATCTCCATTGTGAGACTTGTTACTGTGTTTTGCATATCGAACAGTAGTAGTAAGATGAGAAAAATCTTTTTCTTAGGCTTTTTAAGAAGGCCATCTAAAATATGTTATGCTCCTGGTGTCATACCTGACATCCAACAGGTTCACAAAACTGTCAGCTGTTCCCATGATTCCTACTGCACCCCAACCTGTCATGTTATATAAATAATTCATCATTATCATACATGAAAGCTTTAGACATAGATCCATCAAGGAAGCATAGGGTTAATAAAAGTCTATGCAGACATGAAACCTCTATGCAGATAGAAAACACTACCAGTGTTAGCTTCAGTACCTTAAATCATACCTTGATATTGCAATCACAAACCTTATCCACCTTCTGAATTTCAGGACTTGCCTTGAACTTGTGGCTGTAGATGATTAAGGCTATTAGGAAAGAAGTCATGTGGGTGAGATAAATGCATATTTTGTTTGTCCCAAGAAGGCTCAGAAAGAACATATTCAGGGAATAAAAATTATAATTTAATTATAATTTAAATTACAATTGAATATTCTTATAATCTACCTCTTTCCCGATAAATAAAACATTGTTTATTAATTCCCCCACCCATAAGGGGTAGTTATGTAATTTCCAAAGATCATCGAATCAACGTGCAAGGAAATTACACCCTTTTGAAGAAAAGGTATTTATTATGACTAAATATATTATATATTAATATTCAGCTATATATTGATGTTTATATTAACCATACATATTAATATTTAATCATAATGACTATACTTCAAAACATTGTGTGTATATATGTATGTATATATATGTATATATGTATATATGGTTCATAGTAGAATGACTTCCCCCTGTGGTGAATTACAATGTCAGTGATTGGTCTTTTCTACTGTATAGACATATTAACTATGCTGATACAGATATAAATATATTAACTTCATTAATACCTCTTTCTACAGACATCATATTTTGCATGGCTGACATGCAGAAAATTCTAGAACCCCAATTGGTTTATTGCCTCTGTGTGAAATCACGAATTTTTGCTTACTGAGGAGCTCTGCCCCCAACCTTCCTCATTTTAACACAATGCCATGTCCTCCCTCCCCACTCCCTTCATCCCCCCCCCCCCCAATCAGGTTTCTTTGATTAGCCTGCCTAAAATGTACCTGGTAAAGGGCATGAGCTTAAAGAATCAGCAATTAGAGGTGTCCTTTGATGGAACATGGGGCAAATTCTAATAAAGAAGCTGCACCCCTTACTTGCAATGACTCTCGACCAAATTATACATTATCTGAATGACAAATGTCTTCCTGTAAATTAAAGTGCAGAGCTCTGCTCTCTCTCTCAAAAAAAAAAAAGAGGAGGAGAGGTGATCCTGGGGACTAAAGGGTAATATAAAAGGTAGAGTGCTTAGTTGCATGTAGCCAACCCTAGATTCCCTCTAACCCATAAGATCGCTCCCCAAACCATCCCGCTCCCCTGCTCCCCCGCTCCCCCGCTCCCCCCCCCCAGCAATCCCTTAGTGCAGAGCCAAGCAGAAACCCTGCATACTTTTGGGTGTGCCCCCAAAACAACAACACAAAAGGTGTGTGTGTGTATGTGTGTGTGTGTGTGTGTGTGTGTGTTGGGGAGGGGGATGTTCTTGTACATAATGCAAAATGTCACCTCTAGGTCGCATACTACCCAAAAGGAAGCAAAAGGCAAGGGATACGGCGCAGAAAATAAACAGACACAGACTAGTTTTGTAATGACGAACTTTATGTGGTCTCAGGAACAGCAACCTGTTCTCCTGTCGAGCAATTCCGAGGTACACTGATGCGATTACCTGTCTGGTTAAATTGAGTAAAGGAACTGGATTATGAGGCAGAGCTGGAGACTTATCCGTAAACCTTTCTAAAATACGAAAGTGGGTATCACCAAGTGACTCATGTCTTTACATTTTCCTCTTAAACTTACGTGATAGTCAGCAGCGCTGTTTAAATTCAGCCCACAGCTATTAGACCAAAACACAGATCCGCAGTGTTTATCTCTCCAGCGCTACCAGTGTTTATTGACACTCTCAGAAAATTGGGGTCGATTTCAATGAGAACGTAATAGGATATTTTCGCTTCCCCACCCACACCGCACTCCCAAATCTCTGTCTCCCACCCACCTGCCCTAAATCAGATTTAAAAAAAAAGAAAAAAAAGAAAACATTCCGCGCATCCCCTATTCAGCTGCACCTTCTGCAGTCAGAACCTTTGCTCATAGTCACCACTATCAGTCTTCCTCCAGCCCTCTTTACATCTTGAGACTCCCCTCCCCTCCCGTCCGCCCTGACCCCCCCCCCCCCCGCGTCGCTCACCTTCCACCTTCCCTGGCACCGTCTTATAGAGACGCCCCCCTCCCCCCGCCTCCTCCCAGAGTCTTAAACTCCAGTCCCCTCGCTTTCCAACCTCCTTCCAGACGCTGGCTCCCCTCTGGTGGCACCTGAGACCCCATATCTTCCCAGGGACCCCAAGATGTGCGTGTTTAGAATTCCTTCTCTCCCCCACATCGAGTGCGGTCCTCTAAACCGCAACGGCCCGGGACTTGTCCCCGCTCCCTACCCCATCCCCAGCCCCAGCCGGGAGGTTCTGCATTTAACGCGCCGCCCGGGCTGCCAACTTACCACAAGCGTCCGGGAGGAGGACCACGCAGCGGTCGCAGCGGCGGCAGCAGGACGAGGGTCGGACTCGGCTGCAATCGGCCAGCGGAGCCCGCGGCAGTCTGTGCGCTGCTCTGCGCTGCGCGCCGCAACCCCGCGCCTCGGCGGAGGGAGGGATGGAGGGAGCTCGGCGCGATCAGAAGCACCAGCCTGTCAACCTCCTCCAGGCGACCCTGCGCCCCCGGACCGGTTCGGCTTGTTTTGTTCCGCTACCTACCCTCGCTTAGTAACTGACCACCTCCAGCATCTCTGCGCAATTCGCACGTTCATTCTTGTCCGGCGGTCCCTAACTAACTACACTATTCTAAACGGACGAAGGCCATCACGCGAGCGCCACGACGATCTCGACGACTCCGACGACACGGGTGTCTACGAAGAAGGGAGAAAGTTCATCTGCAGCCGGCAGGTAAGGAGCGAGCAAGCCGATGGAGTGGACGAGACCGACAGTCTCGCCGCTCCAAAGGCTGCGTAGGAGAGATCTGCGCGCCGGGGGAAGGAAGCTTCCCCAGCGAGCACCAGAGCGCCTACCCCGCTCTAGCTGAGCCGCACAGCGCTTTTGGGACAAATGCGGGATGAGGGGCGGGGCCAAGAGTGACCAATCAACATTCAGCATTACACTTGTCCCCTCTTTCCCCCACCCCACCCTCCGGAGCCTGTTTAGGCTGTTCTTGGTATGTCTGCAGCCTGCTGGCCAGCGAGTGAGACCCCAGAGTGTTGGTGATAGGGGTGATTAACTTGGTTGGTGAGACCCTCGAGACTGAGAAGCACTGGAGTCAGTGGAAGTGGGTAAATCTCAAGAACGAATCCTCAAACTTTCAAAGTATAACCTACACACACACACACACACACACACACACACACACACACCTCACTTGAGCATTTCAGATCAATAAACACTTCTCAAACCTTGTAGGCTATACTGACTTCTGACAATCCTTTGGAAAAATCTCTACTGCAATTTTTGCTCTTTCCTTCAGTCGGAGTAATTTTTGAGGCACTCACAGGACCAAATAAATTGAGCGTGCAGAAACTATAAGGCTGTTTATAAGGCTCACTTACACCCCTTTTTCAGGGTCCCAAATGCTGAGCAAAAAGAAAAGCCATTGATTTTACAGGAAAACAAATCCAAACCAAAAAGAAGCCATTTAATTCCTTTCTTGATAACCTCCCGTTGCCACCCAACTAAAAGCTTGTAAAGATAGCCCAAAGGCAGCTCATTCTGATTTCAAAGGCAAGTATATCTCTAATTCTTCAGTCAAAGCCTAGAGCCCCACAGCAGAGGTCAAGGTAATAGGACAAGGGTGAAGCACAAAAGCTTGTCCCCTGTACATAATTGGGTGAAAAGCTGTAACCTGCCTAGCAGAGCTGCTCTCCACTAGCTCCAGGCTGGCAGGGTTCCTGCCTGGCCCAGCTGCGGCACAGAGAAGGGTTAGTTGGGTCACCTTGACCAAGGTGCCTCAGGGATTCTAAAGCGGCCCCAGATTGCTTCTAAGATGGAATGGGAGGCTTGGAGAGGAGTAGGCGCAGATGGAGGCTCCTCAGATCTCTAGCGAGTCAACTAGGCAAAGCCGCACTGTACCACAGGGGGCCGGGCGTTAGAGAAGTCGGGACTGACTCTCTCGAAAATCGGGGATAGTTGGTTAAAAGAAAGATATCAGAGTCTGAAAAGACAGCTTGGTACCGTATTGCAGAAAAGCGATTTTATGGAAGAGGCTATTGGAGCAGTGCACTGGCTTGGAGGCTCCAGTCCTTAGGGCGCGCAGAGGACCAGAGCTTGCGCCGCTCCCAAGGCTAAGGCTGCCCCAGTAGGCGCTGTCTTTTGATTAGGATGAGAAAGGACGGGATGCAATGATAAATGTCGAATCACATCTCTCTGTGCCTTAGTTTCCCGCTGTGTAAAAAGAACTATTACTATTGTTCAGTAATACACAGACAAAATTCAAACACTTAGGGCTCTAAATTTTAATTTGCCGCTAAACATAACTGCCAACACCCAAGTTATGTTTCCCAAAGCAAAACAATAAACAACAAAAACAAACAAAAAAAACCCTCGCGGTTTACTTGAAGCATCTGTTGAATGCTGCACAGGTGGCCGCGGGTTTTGCAGCCATGTTCGAGAACTATACAATGCTTACATCTTTAGAAATGCTGTGTTAGCGACGCTTATTTTGTAAATAGAGAAAGAAAATGCATACCTTGTCTTTTAATAAGTAGCATTCATCTTTTAAAAAGCCCTAAGCGCCCCCTTGATCCCTGTGAGCACAAAATAAATGCTTTGTCTTGCTTTTTTTCCCCTCGGAACTTCTAGTTATTTTGTCCGAGACAGGTTCTGGGTTTACTTTTTAAGAGATGTAAATATAAATCCGGTAATATATCCGCTAAGGCAAAAAGGACTGCCAGGCAGAGCGCCTGGAGATGGCATTCGGCGACAACGGGTTAAAGCGGGGACCCTCTCCACTCTCATCAGCTCTCTTGGGAACAGGCTTTGAGTCGCCAATCACCATAATTGATGGAGACGCCTGTGCAGGTGATGATGCTTTAATAATGTCAATTATCACTGTTTATGATCACATCTCCTTGAGGCGGTTCTCTCATCTCCCATGGAGAAAGGGGACTCAGGGTGAATGAAACCCATCTAGGGATTCAAAGGGTTTCTGGTGCCGCAGGATGTTAACTAGCCGGGCTTCCAAATTAGATACGCACAAGTGGGCAAATTCGCCTTTGAGCGGCGCTCGCCCAGCGGCTCTCATGTTGGCGAAGCCTGAACCCGCTTTCTGTCCCTAGAGCCAGCTCTGCTTCTTCAACAAAGGAGAGGCGACTGCCTCTTCCTCGCTTTAGTCTTCTGAGCCCAAAGCTCTGAGCCTGTAGGAGTTCAGGCCGATTTCACTAGGTGTTGCAGGTTCTGGCCACACTAACTAGAAATGTAAAAAAAAAAAAATGTTTAAAGTGCACTTTGAAACCCGCCAAGCAACGCAAAACAAATCCAAGCAAGTGAGTTTTGTCTTCCCTAGAGAGATTTTTTCGAAGCCCTGTCTGTAATTTCCCCGTGAAACGGCTCTATCTTTCCCCCCTCGTTTTTTTCATGACTCTCATAGATTTTAAGAAGTTGTTCCTAGAAGGAGCCTAAATTTGCTGTGCAACTCTGATATTTGATGCTAACCCTCAGCACCCCGGAGTAGTTTTCACAAATTTGCCCCCCTTTCTCAGGATATAGTTGGGCTTGTTACTTTTGCACCAGGGAGTTTCCAAAACTACTTTTCCAAAACAGCTTTACAAAATCACTCCTTTTGAAAATTGATAAAAAAATTAGGAAATAATTTAAAAAGATTTGTGAATATAGTAGTGATAATTCCTTATCACTTAGGCATTGGGAAGCTTTTATATGAATAATAGTAACCTACTTGGAATGGTTTTCAATTATTTTTGGATGTAGTTACTAATAAGTTAACTATTATATAAATTATAATATATAACTGTATTCACTATAAAGTTATAGTGAGTAGTAATATAATTGCTATTTTCCCTTTTTTGGTCAGAGAAATCGCAACTTTAACAAACTCAAAAGATTATGGTCTGTGATAGATTTAAAGAATGAGTGACTGGGTTTTGGAAAAGTACCGTGGGGATAGATATTTTTGTAGCGAAAAGAAGATACTCATAAAGTCTAGTAGATGTTTCCCTCATTCCGGGCTCTTGTTTACTAGAGAGTAGTAAATGAGCACATTGACAATCATCCATTCATTTTTTTTCAGTTTTAAAGAAAATCCTTAGGTCTGTGGGAGGGTTTATATTATGTTTGGTCATTGTATAACTATCAAATAATCTTTATAGCATTTCATATTTTAGCCTATATTCAAATATCCATCCTTGAGGTAAAACTTATCACAATTGACATGGCAAAATTCTCTTTAATTCTTCCTAAAGTAGGGCCATTGAAGAGGCAACAACCTAGAAAAACCCTTTGTATAAATGATTCCTTACACAAAAAGGCTTTTTAATTTGGTAGGATTATTTTTAATGAAAAACAAAGCAGACGGACTCTATGTGCTCTTTAGGAAGGCAGGGGGCAGTCTCTGATCATGACAGTCTTCCAGAGCAGCATATTTTTGAAAAGATCCTCTCATCGAGTGAAAAACAACAATTAACTCTGTTTTTCTTGTACCTTAACCTATGATAGGAGAAAGAAACTGCAAGTGTTTTGGGAGGATTTGATAAGGAAGATCCCAGGACACCTTTTTGTCACCACTTCTCAAAATGAAAAGGAATTTTAAGGTTTTTAGAAAAATTCTATGCTTCTCTTTTTTGAAATAAATGTTATTTAGAAACAATTTAATTGTATCTGACAAAATTGTAATTGTAGACTTAGAAATTAATACAATTAAAATATACTTCTAAGTTTGAGTAGGGAAGAACTTGGACTCTTATATACTTTTTCTCAAAGAGGAAAAAAGAGCTAAAATCTATATAGAGAAATTAGTGATTTAAAGGAGTGTGTCATGAAGCACATTCATGATATAGTGAATATATATGCTTCATTCAGCAAGCACAGGATGACAAAGATGGTGCTTAGAACTGTTTGTTTTTATTGAAGGATTTAAAGGTCAGAGCAACAGTTTTATTTTCCTTTTATTTTTCACTGAAGACGACTAAGCCCCTGGGCTATCTTGCTACCTCGATATTGTATTGTGCCACTTTTAGATCACTTTTATCTCTACTGCATATACTATAGTAGTCATGACTTTTGCCAGTCAACAAAATATTTGCTTCAGATTCATATTTAAAATAGTAGAGTTAATAGATTTAGATCTTCTATGCTTTATCTGTTCCTTAGTACAGTTCTTCAAATAAGGGACATTGCCTTCCATAGTTATATAGTCCCTTCTCCCTTTTTTCAGAATTGTCACCGCTGCTAAATTACGAGTATCTGAAACAAAGATTTAGTTAATAATGTCTTTATCTTCTTGTTCTCATTTATTCTAATTCTGGGAAGAAGGAACATAAATAACAATGTTTAATGCTAATTGTAATCACAAAAGAAGTTATGATGAAAGGTCAAGAACAGAAAGATTGTTAAAATCTGAATTTCTTGATAGTTTGAATATTAAATCTGTGGCACATCA